CGTGGTGTTCAAAGACAGCAACAAAGTACCAGTCACTTAACCTGCTCAGCTGGTGATGGCGTGTCTCATGTTCAAGACATCCATGCAAGAGATCACAGTCAGTTTTATGATTTATTTTGGAAATGTACTATGTATTTGGAAACTTACTTTGTTCCAGACAGGCACAGGGGCATAAGGAATAGTTTGATCGGCCACAAATGACGCCAATTAAGACCTTGGATAAATACATTTGTTTCAGGAATTTACGTGCAGTATTAAGTACTACTAAATGCTATGTTCATCTTATTTTAATGATACAATGTAAAGCTTGCAAAACTGCCTTGATCCTGCATTGGATATTATTGATAATCTAATGTTTAAATGTTATTCACTAGCAGGCTGGAAGTTGCTTTCCTGTAAATTTACTGATCTGTGCATACATCATAAAAACCTTTCCTCTTGGTTTGTATTCTCATTGCAGGTGCTGTTCCTACGTGGGTCGAAGGGGTAATGGCCCCCAGGCTATATCAATTGGCAAGAACTGTGATAAATTTGGAATAGTTGTTCATGAACTGGGTCATGTGATAGGCTTCTGGCACGAACATACACGACCTGACCGAGATGACCATGTAACCATCATTAGAGAAAACATTCAGCCAGGTGAGATAATTTGATAAGCACTCTTAGATTTAAAAAAAAATCTCTGATGGTGTTAGGTTCATTTTGATGTGTCTGTTTATGATTGTAAAACAATGTAGTGAAGTTAAGGCTTTCTTTGCTAAAGCTCCTGATGAATGATTGTTGAGCTTAACTTTGGACTTGTACCAAAGAGGACTCCCAGCAAACCCAGTTGTAAATGGGTAGTTGATCATTCAAACTAACCAATCAAAACAGATGACTGAATGTGATGCTAGGTACATCAATCCCGCATGTGCCATTGTCTACAGAAACTGATGTGCCTTAACCATGCCAGACCAATGGTTGGATGACTATGGATCTTTTCATGGTTCTTTTTGATCTGGCTTGAAGATTGCATTTTTACACTTTTTGGTGATTCTTGTCATTAGTTAATTTATAATTCATAACCAAAATGATTATCATTCAGAATTTTATTATTTCTTAAATTCAACTTGTAATATTACAACAGAAATTAACTCATTTATACCATTTCTTTTATCTGGATGGATTCCAGAGTGACTGAAAACTATATACTGAATATATAGTACTTCTAAGTTGCAGTTGCATCTGGTGTTGACAATGTAAATATCAAATAAACATAGAGGAGGGAGCACATCTTTATTTATGGCCTTTAGAGACTCAAGAAAAAACTCCTGTTGGTATGGAAAAAAGCCATCAGCCTTTTTCGTTGTCATACTTTAGTCAGAATACTGTATTCCTGTCCTTATATGAAACATGAATGAAATTATATTGAAGCTTGGAAAATGACACTGGTACTAACATTTTACTTGGTTAATTGCCGTGGAGCAGCAGACCCTGATCAAGCTAGCTGTGGAGAAGCTACAAGACTGGCAGTTTGGGTCCCAATTTTATTTAATCTCATCTGGTTGGCTGGTTGGCTTGAAACTTTGATTCAGGTGGTAGTTTCAAGGCTGAGAAGCCAGAACTCCCAAGGTTTCTAAGCTACCAGCTCCTTCAGACACCAGGAACATAGACGTTTTTGCCTGTGGCAGGCTGCCAAGGGAGCTATGGAGTTGTCTTAAGAGTTCAGGAACTAGGAATACCAAAATTTCAACATGCCAGTCTCCTGGTCAGCCCACCAGATGTGCTCCCTATGAGCTGGGAACCTTGAAACCTAGGCTGCAATGGAGCCAGCTGGTGATGTTGGCAGGAAAGCAGGCATGGAATGGCTTTCAACTTCGTAATTAAACTACATCTTTGAACTCTTTTGATTTTGATGAATTACCTTTTCCTTTCAACAAATGCTAAATACCTTGTGAAGGGTACAAAGTGATTGTTGTTGTTAGAAACATCCTGTGTGCCCTAATACAGGTTCCATTACTTGGCATTTTCTTGCTTTTTAGAGTGTATATTATATGGAAAATTGTAGCACTTAAGCAACCTAAAACCCTTTTAAACCCTTCTTTATGAAAATAACTATGAAGGTAAAATTTAAACCATTCTGTTTAGAATAGTTTAAACCAATTTGTTTAACCAATATGTTAGAATTCCACGAAATGAATAACTTCTCAGGACAAAATCTGTAACACTTTTATTTAAGCATATGGTTTTTTTCTAGTTTTATTTATTTTTAGAAATACTTTCTTTTAGCCAGTTACTCAATGTTTGCACAGCAGGCTTTTATTTTCCTTTTGGTGCTTTATATTACCAGATGGTCTAGATGCAGCAAAAAACTAAGTATCATAATTCTTAAAACTGCAAAACATAATATAAAATACCATTAGACTACATTGGTCTAATTATATTTTCAGTATTAGACTCTATAACCTTGATTTAATTTGAAAAGTGTTCAAGTCTGTACACCTAAGACATTTTATAGTTTCTTAATATGAAACTCATGTTTAAAGAAATTCATTCGGGATACAATAAAGCTATGTCACCTCAGATGGGACTTTGGACAGGATGTACAGGTATAAGGCATTAGCTTGGATCCCAGTCTGGAGGTGTAGGGGGTGGTTTAGGCTCTATCTTCTGTATCCAAGGCTTCCACATACACACTTACTTGAACTCTTCTGTGTGCTAAACATGTTGGATTCAGCAACTACTGTTTGCCTCTGATGGATTCACAAGCCACAAGGTGGTCTGCTAATTTCTTGCGCTTTATGTAAGTAAGTATTTAGCTTCATCTCAGGTAAAGGTGAACCATCCTGCATGCTTCTATCTTACCTCCATGGTTTTTTGCTTGAACTTGCTTGTTAATACCATTTCTTGTGGTGTCATTTGGCCTTGCCCATCACTTATTGGAGTCAGGAAAGCATTTCTGTCAGGGTGAAATTGATACATGTTCTGAGAGCATTCTCTTAGCTGCTGCAGGTTTGACTAGAGTTGGTGGTTTGATGTTTAATATTAAAGTAAAAAACTTTGGCTAGACTTCAGTATGATTTGGGGCTTTAGTAAGGGCCGGTTTATATACCAATGAGGACCAGATCTCTGGTAGATTTCAGGCCTGGAAGGCAGCTTCTCTTTTCTTAAACAGATTGCTGCAATTCTCTTCTGAAGCTGAAGCATTTTCATGAAGTTAGTAGTGCAGGCCACTAGAACCTGGACCCAAATTACTGTTGTGAGTAGATAAGTTTTGTAAAAGGTAGTTTCTACTTAAATAAGATAATTCTGGTAACCGTCTTGTACAATCAGATTACTCCTGCAGTTGATAGCTAAATTGGTAAATGTGGTGGACTCCATATTTACCTTAATTTTTGGTGTATGATGTCTTAATTGCTTATAGTGTCAATGTAAATGAAACGGCTAAGTTACATGTAAATAATCTAGTCATGGGTTTATGAAGTTCATGCATCCTTGTTCACTGTAATTAATAAAAGCAGTTAACTACTTTGGTTAGAATTCACTAAACTAAAAATGTCTGTGAATGATTATTGTATCTCTGTTGGTGGTATTTTTCTTTCTTTTCCTTTTTATCAGATGGTTCATCTGAGATATTGTTTATGAATTGCTTGTAGGTCAGGAATACAACTTCCTGAAGATGGAGCCAGGAGAGGTTAACTCCCTTGGGGAACCCTATGATTTTGACAGCATTATGCACTATGCAAGGAACACTTTCTCAAGGTTGGAGTCTCAGGTTATACCTTTTGACTTTTAATTCCATTCTTCCACATGAATACTAATTTTATCAATAACATTTCCAGAATTACTTTAAAACATTACAGTCCCTCACTAGTTTGTGTTCCTAACAGGAGTCAAAACACACCTTTTGTTTTAATTGGACCAAGTAGAGTAAGTTGATTCTATTTTAAAAGACTCCTTAATTTCCTCTCAGTCTCAAAGCCTTCTTTTTCTGTTGTTTCAGTTACTTAGGTTTAATGTTAAGATAAAGATAGTCATATATTTTCTGTAACTCTTTTTCTATAAAAAATAAATAAAGCCAGAAGCATCAAATAAGTTAAATTTTATTTGCATTTTGAACTTTTCGATCAGAGTGCAGTCTGCTTCAACATATAGGATGTGTCCAGACAAACGCACGCATGCAGTTTGCGGCACCGCAGACTCGGCTGTGGCACCACAAACTGCACACACCGCACATGCAGTTGCTTGCTGCATTGCTAATTAGCAGCACAGAAGTTTTTTTTGACACTGGGAGATTTCAGTGTCAAAAAATACCTGCACCAAAGAAGTGGGGCAGCACATGTGGTAGAAGCATGCACCATCCAAACCTGGAGCCTGGCCAATTGGAGCCACACTTGGGCTGCTGGCCAGGCTGCACACACTTGAATCACCATCACTGGAGCCCCAGGAGCCTAAGGCTGTTGTGGCAAGCCTAGGTGCTTGCCCCAGCCTCCCCTACCCCACCCAGGGCAACTTGCTGTGCTCCATAGTACACATGCACAGGCATTCCCCAGGGACAAGTAGCAGCGGCACAACTATGTAGGAAATGCATGTGAGCGCTCAGCTGGATATGCCCATAAAGTCTGTGCTTTATGTTGATGTAAAGTATTAAAAGAGCTTGTCAGGTAAATATAACTTTTTAATGAGGACATTGCAGAAGGCTGCAGCCAGTTGACCTGAATGGAGTTTGAAGTCCATTCTTTGCTGTTTGTACATGTTGTTACTGTCCTTAGAAACATAGTCATGATTCCTGTTCTTCCTCCTCTGGCCTGTGCTGGTTAGTATTGGTTGCCCTGTTGCCAGTTTCCCTGACTGTGAACATATGGATGATACAAAGATTCCTTCTGAAACTTTCAGAAGATTCAGAGTGCTGCTACACTACTGCTAAACTGGTTGTTTCCTTTATACAGTTTTACTACAGTGTGTAAGTGAGGGGGAGATATAGTAATAATCATAATACTTATTATATTTCATACTGCATTACTTTGTAGTTCAGATGCTAACTACCCTATAAAAAATATTACCAAGGCAATTAAAAACTTGGGTAAAGCTCATCTGTACATAAAGAATTACGTTCAGGGCCCAGTTCCTATGCAACCTGTGGGTAAATCATTCTACCTTCTTAGGGCTAAATACTTTCTCTTTTACATAGCCACGTGACTATACTTTTTGGCATTATTGCCGTGTTTAAACTCCACATAGTATGCTTAGTAGGCTGCAGGCACCTAAGGGGAATAGAATGTATGTAATGCCAGGTAAGACCCAAGGCTTTAGTCACAGAAAAGTTACAATTATTGAGTTTTTGGCCCTGGAAGAAGAGGCCTTGCTGTGTTTTAGCCCAGTGGCCTGAAAGTTAGAGGATTGTCTAGGGCACTGGTTCCCAGCTTTGTTGTGCTGTGACCCGCTCCTGGGAATGGAGGGCAGCGGTGGCAGCCTGGGGGCAGGGGAGCTTCCGGCATGTGGCGCGGCTCATCCTTTGTGTGCAGGGCCGCCGGCAATGCCCCCATGAACCTCATTTGGGTCATGACCCAAGGTTGGGAACCCCTGGCCTAGGGAGTAGGAGACCCAGGTTCTAGTCCCTCATCCAGAGGTGGTTTGAACCCAGCCCCTTTTTCCCAAACCTCGTTCTCTGGCAGGGCTCAGCCCAGTGCAGAACTTGCTGGTTATACTTCTGCTGTAATATAAACACAGGACAGTATCTATGTTAAAAATCTTCAAAAACAGTATCCTGTGAAAGAGGATGAGAAGGAAGAAGCCACATTTAATTTTTGTTAGTGACATCACCTAATGCACCATTGCAAGGGGCTCAGACATTACATTGAAAAGGTATAAGAATCTGTATAAAATAGACTAGGTAGCAATGACTACTCTGTGGAGATTTGGTTTCTAGCTTTAGTCTCAGGCTCCAGGCTGACAGAAACTATAGGAAGGTATATTCTGCCCATAGGAACAATATTGTGGTATGCCATTTAAAGAAGCCCACAATACCAGGTGAGGGTTTCATTAACTTCAAAGGAGGTGCTCTATGAATTGTTGAACTTTGCCAACTATTAGTTATTAGACTCTTGGACAAATAACAAAAACCAAAATCAATCATGAGGTATTATTCACAAACAGATAAGGCTATTAGTGAAATAGTAAGATGATTAATAGCCTTTCACTGTCCCCATAATACACAGCATTTAAGGGGTATTGGAAGAAGAACAATTTCTTGTTTTTCAAGTTTAATTACATTCATTTGGTCATCTTCAGGCCACACCTGTGTTGTTCAAAAAAACCCTTACTTTATCTTCCCTCCTTCCCCGCCCCCTTGTTACTCCAGTGGCAGAGATAGGGGCATTGCCAGATGCTGGCTGGCATGGCCTTGTTAAGGCAAAGGGGACAGGGAGGGTGTTAATTCTTCCCTCTGCCCCCTCTCTCCCCAGGGACCCCAGTCCAGGTTTTACAGCCCCAGCCACTGCCTCCACCCGCAGCCAGGCAGGGAGGGGGTTAATTCCTCCCTCTGTCCCCTCTCCCCATGGGGACCACAGCTTGAGTCTGCCAGCCCTGTTTGCCACCTCTGCTGATCTCTCTTTGTGTGGGGTGAGCAGCAGAACAAGTCCCCTCCCTGCCCCTTTTTCCAGATGCCAGAGGGAGGGGGGAAATAAACCCCGTGCCCCATGTAGTCTGTGGCAGCCCTGCCCACCCCAGTCCTGCATGCAGCGCAG